TCGGCAGCAGCAGAGACAACATCGGCAGCAGCAGAGACAACATCGGCAGCAGCAGAGACAACATCGGCAGCAGCAGAGACAACATCGGCAGTAGCAAAACCATCAACGGCAGCAGCAGGAACGTCAACACCAATTGCTGGTCCTTCAACGACACGGCTCCTCATCGACGATACACCACCGACACCCGCGCAACAAGTACACCCAGCACCACGAGAAGTTCATCGTAGCGCCAACTTCACCGCCAACTTCTACTCCAACTCCGATATGTACCGATGATCACCCGGACATCGCGCCGACGAAAGCACCTGGCACGCAAGGATGGGACACCCAAGCAACACAGTATTAAACAATACGATAAGAGCAGGAGTACTCGACAAGGCTTCACTCCTACTGACCGGCGGACGAGAACTTCAACGAGTACGCGGAACGTGCTTCACCTGCCCTGAAGGTGACTTACCACATTGACCGTTTGCATCTCATCACAACCCGATCGCACCCGCGTACGCACCACTCAAGAAGGTGTATAGCGACATCCTGTTCAATCGGGAACCAGGACAAGTAATATACAACTATACAATCACCTTCATCGACGCCGCCACCCGTTACGTCTGGCACCTAAACCTCCCTAGCCGCGACATGGCATTCGAAGCCTTTGTTGCCTGGCTACCAGTAGCAGAGAGAGAATCGGGCGTGAAACTGAAAAGCTTCCAGTCAGACGGAGGAGGAGAATACACCTCTCAGCGATTCAAGCAGTACCTGGCGGAAAGGGGAATCAAGCAGCTCATCTCCCTTCCCTACGCCCATCAGCAGCAAGGTGTAGCAGAAAGAATGAACAGGACCTTGCAGAACAGCATGCGCAAACTGTTACGTGGCATGCGGCTACCAAACCACCAGTGGCCTGCGGCAATGGACCACGCCGTCATGCTGCACAACCTGCTCTCGTCATCATCGCTTCCAAACAACGCATCACTGCATCTGCTATGGACAGGGAAACAGGGCAGCACAAAAATGTTACGAGTATTCGGATGCATGGTACAGTACCGACCCCCAGCAGCACGAGCGGGCCGATTTTCTCAACGAGCACAGTGGGGACTACACCTGGGCATCGAAAAGAACTACAACGCGTGGAAAATGTTCGACGTCCATTCCAAGGAAACAGTAGTAGCACGTGATGTAATTTTCTACGAACGACTCACGCTCCAGACATACCTTGCCAACCTGCAAGAAGATCAGGATCCCACAGGTGGTTTTCGCGGTGACCGAGCCTTTACCTCAGCAGCGGACGAAGCTGACTGGGATGAGCAGAATGTGGACAACGCATCAGAAGAAGCCGGACCTCTTCCGTTCAGCTCCGTCGACGTTCCCATGGACGAAGATAACCCTCGCGAAAGTGTCAACGCTGAAACCTTCTACTATTTCGCCGACAACGGTTACGTAACACCTACGACAGTCAACACCAACAAAGTAGAACGAGTAGGACTGAACTTCAGACCTGATCCAGAAGCGGGAGATGAAGCAGCTTATCCCGAGGACGCAAATCTTCCCCGCTACTCACAGAGTGAACTGCAAATTCTCGGACTCGTCACCGCAGTCCACGGCACCGCCATTCCTAAAGAGCCTGCGACAGTTCAACAGGCTCTGGGGGGGGAGCATAAGGAAAAATGGCGCAAAGCCATGGACAAGGAGCTGAAGGCACTGGAGGAACGCAACACGTGGAAAGTGGTTCCTATCGGCGTGGCACGGAACAAGACAGTGCTCACCGGGAAGTGGGTCTTCCGTGTGAAGACAAAGGCTGACGGCACCATTGACAAATTTAAAGCTCGCTGGGTTGTACACGGCTTCGACCAAGAACACGGACGAGACTTCACCGAAACTCTCGCTCCGGTTAGCCGCCACACCTCACTACGCATTCTCCTCGCAATCGCCGCCATGAAGAAGAAGAAGCTGCGACAAATTGACGTCGCGAACGCGTTTCTCTACGCACCTGTTGATGCAGAAATTTTTGTCGAGCTACCGCACGGCTCCCACAGAGAACCCAACCAAGTCTGCCAGCTACTCAAGTCACTCTACGGCATCAAGCAGGCTCCGCGACTGTGGCAACAGTACCTGCACGCTCGCCTCATCCGCATCGCCTTCAAGCAACTACCGCACGATCAAGGCATGTGCCGGCTCACAAAAAAACGACGACTACATCGTACTAATGGTCTACGTGGACGATCTCCTTTACATCGGCTCAACTGACGGCATCACTACCTGGTTCAAAGGGGAGCTGCATCGAGATCTCACGCTCACAGTTTCATCTACCGTCACTCAGTACCTCGGCCTCAACATCCAGGAAGAGGAGGACGCGATCTACCTCAGCGCCAAGAAATATGCGGACACTATCGCCAAACGCTTTACGCTCACACCGACACCCATCTCCACGCCATACCGATACACGGCAGGGAACGACAAAGGAAGCTCTGCTCTACTTAAGCCCGCTGGCATACGAGACTACCAGAAGAAGCTGGGATGTCTTCTCGTCGCAGCCGTCACCTGTCGCCCCGACCTCTCATACTCCGCAAGCCAGCTCGCCACCTACCTCAAGAAGCCTGAAGTAGAACATCTCGCGGAGCTCGACCGCGCTCTACACTACTTCGTCAGCACCCCAACGATCGGCCTAACTTACTACAAGAACGCAACCACACCGACTAAGTTAATTGGCTACGTCGACGCTGATCACGCTGGCGACTCCGACAATAGGCGCTCCCGCACCGGCTACATCTACCGCCTCGAACCTATCGGACCTATCTCTTGGCAATCGAGCAAGCAGGAGTTAATTGCTCTCTCGTCAGCTGAAGCAGAATATATTGCACTCTGCTCTGCCACCAAGGAAGGACTCTATCTTTGCGAGCTGCTGGAAGAAGCGAAGTTAGCCGAGTTACCCAACTTTACCCTGTTCTGCGACAACCAGTCGGCAATTCGCATCGCCAACAAGAACGGCTTCGCGAACTGGACGAAACACATTGCCCTGCGATATTTCTTCGTGAAGGACGAGATCGAGAAGGGAAGGCTCGAGCTGTCATACTGTCCCACGTCCGAGATGGCAGCTGACTACCTGACCAAGAAGCTCGAAAAGCAGAAGTTCGAATACTGCATGCTGCTGACTGGACAGAGCCACGCCAGCGACACTCCAGAAGTGAAGGGGAGTGTTGGAAACAATCGGTCCTAAGTGCCTCTGTCGTTTCGAAACACCAAAGACACAAGCGAAGCAAAACACTATCGAAGCACCAGCGAGTCAACCCTCGGAGGTTGAAGTGACTGTCGGAGGTTACGCGAAAGTCAAAGGTCAGCAACCTTCGACCTGACAAATACAGCGCGACAGCAAAGACACACAACTGACTCGTTACAGAGCAGTTGCCCGAGTCGTCACTGTATCGAACCGCAACAGCAACAGTAAAGTAGTTATAACCGTGTCTTTTCATATTCCCTGTATTCATATATAATCTTGTATCTCTTTGCTTTAATCAACTTACTTTGCCCTCACATACTAGCGCAAGGTGGTTCACAACTCTTTAATTAACGCTTCCGCTACTACACCAACTCTACCCAGAGTTCACCACTGCAAAGATCCTAAGGGTTTTTCAGCCCAACAACTCCTACCCAGAGTTTAGCCTTGCAAAGATACTAAAGGCTTTTTCTCAGCCCAACATGGTATGAGAGCTATCAGGGCAAACTCAACTACTTTCAAGACACCTACAACATCAGAAGGCATGGCAACACAGAAGGAGAGGAGTTCCTCTAACGATTCTCCCGGTACTACTCCTACTACACCTCGTGCCTCTGGCCTCCAAACAGAGGAGGGCACAGCAACAAGACCAGCAGCTGGGTCCACTGAAACTCCCGCAAATCAAGCCGCGGGCCTTGACCCAAGCATGATGGAGAAGTTCTTCTCCTTCATGTTCTTCTATGAATAACACCAGCAAGGGGCACCTGCGCAGTCAAACAACAGCAACAACAATAACGATGTGACACCGAAGAGCCTCGACGGTTCATCCTACGCGCAAGGAAATCAGCAACAGCAACCTACCTTCGCCTCGTACGAACCCCAGCGCGGTTCCGTCAGTTTCATGCCGCGCCAGCAGCCTTCACCTGAGCAAGAGAAGACATTGGATGCACTTCAAGTTCGGTCGTTGTTTGCGCACGTCTTAAAACTGCAGACATCAAGACCGTTCGACGGAAAAGACTTCTTTACCTGGTCGTTCAAATTCGAGCTAATGATGGAAGGCACACAGATTCTTGGCTTCTTCGACGGGTCTCTGCCATATCCAACACACGGGACGCAATAGGACAAACAGCAGTACACATACCAGTCGATGATGGCGTACACGATCTTGCTGAGGAACATAACTCCAAACCAGCAACAGAACATTCGGTCTTACCGAGGATACGGCAACTCCGCTGAGCTCGCGTACAACCACTTGAAGAACATGTATCAAGCAACGAACAACGTCAATCAAAGTCGGTTAATGGCACAACTGACAACAGTGGAAATGAAACCGGACGAAAAGGGGATGGCGTATATCAGCCGCAATCGCGAGCTGCGCGACAAGCTTCTTCGATGCGGATGGACGATATCCGAAGACGCCTTCGTCACAGTCATCATCGGTGGTCTTGGTCCTCAATGGCACTCCACCCGAGCCATTCTCCGAGCCCACAGGAAATTCTCCGAAGCAGCACTCTGCGCCGAGATTAACGCCGAGCAGCAAGACATGGACCTGTAAGAAGAAAAGCAAAAGAGGAAGACGTCAGTACCTGAGTTCGCTTTCCACACTCAGCGGCGCTGGAACAACAACAATCACCGGCAGAACAAGTACCAAGGACAGCAACCCGTACCACCGTTTTGTCATCTCTGCAAGACGTCGGGTCATCCCCGCACACACTGCCCAAACCGGCAGCAGTCAACGCAGCGGCATCTTCGACCTTCAGGCAGTCAAGTAACATCCACGAAGGCGCACCCCATGAGTCAGCCGCAGTCCTCAACAACATCACCAACGCAACCTGCACAAGGAGCAAGAAACATCGTCAGTTGCATGGCAAGACTGGGAGATTTTTGCATCACTGAATCACCGCCACATTACTCACCGGAAGAGCAACTCGACAACAGCACTCCTCGCCGCGGATTACTTCAACCGAACGTACGCAACCATCGCCCAAAACGAACCATGTGGGAAGGATACCTGGTTCTTGAATAGTTGCTGCGGGCAGCATATGTGCTCCTTGGGTCGCTTCGTTGAACGGGAATACCAACTTCAACGAGAAGTCGTGATCACCATCGCCAACAACCAGAACCTGCGCACACGACGACAAGGCGTGGTTCAACTTCAATCACGGGAAACGAACGTTATACTACAGATGTCGAACGTAAGTTGTAGCAGAAGGACTCGGCTACAACTTACTGAGCGTCAGTCAACTGATGGCGAAAGGCATCCATCTCGAAGCAGACAGCACCACTCAGGAGTTCAAGCTGTACCACGGGAGAGGCGGGCTTTACGTCGGGAAGGCGGTCCTAAAGAATAACGTCTTTGTCCTCGACTTTGTTCCAGATTTAGGCACCGCCGATAGCGACGGAATCGTCACCTTCACCTCCTGGACGCACCCACCGGATCTTGATCCTGACTTCAGCCCCGAAGGCTTCTGGTATTCGCACACTATTCCTGAGGCAGAACGAACAAGAGCATTAGCAACGATTCAACACTTGGCAGCAGCAGAGACAACATCGGCAGCAGAAGAGACAACACCGGCAGCAGCAGAGACAACATCGGCAGCAGCAGAGACAACATCGGCAGCAGCAGCGACAACATCAGCAGCAGCAGAGACAACACCAGCAGCAGCAGAGACAACATCGGCACCAATCGCGGGTCCTTCAACTGCACCAGCCCCAATCGATGGCGACACTCCACCGACTCCTGCGCAACAACAGAATCCAACTCCAAGAGAAGTTCATCGAAGCGCAAATTTCACCGCAGGCTTCTACTCCAACTCCAATTTATACCGTCGCTCACCCGGACATCGAGCTGGCGAAGATATCTGGCATGCATGAATGGGACATCCAAGCAACACAATCAGAGCAGGCGTGCTCGATAAAGACTCACTGCTTGTAGCCGACGGAAGCGAACTTCGACGAGCTCGCGGAACGTGCTTTACCTGCCCCAAAGCCGACTTACCGCATCACCCGTTTGTACCTCATCACAACCCTAGTGCTCCAACTTACGCGCCTCTGGAGAAAGTGTACAGCGACATCCAGTACAATCGCGTGTACGGCATATATGCTATAGTCTGTGTAGGATGTAGTGGGGCAGTTCATATGGGGTACAACACTTTAGGGTTTACTACTTGTACTCCTCATTCTGCTCAATGCATTCATTCTTCGTTTTTTATCATGGTATCGAGCAGGTTCCCTAGTGGGAACGCTACCAAGGGCCCACCACGATTATTTTTTTTCCTGCCCGGAGTGCGCTTCACTCCTGCCCGAGTCGCGCTCTCTGTGCCCTCCCTACCTTCGCGCCGCCCTTAGTGGCCCCTCTCACGGCCCCTTACGCCGCCCTTACGGCCCCTAGCGCCGACCTCTGCGGCCCCTCGCGCCGCCCTTACGGCCCCTTACGGCCCCTCGCGCTGCCCTTACGGACCCTTACGGCCCCTCGCGCCGCCCTTACGGCCCTCGCAAGGCCCCCTTTCGGCCCCTCGCGATGCCCTTTCCGGCCCCTTACGGCCCCGTTGCCGCCCCGTTTCGGCCCCTTGCGGCCCCTCTGCGGCCCCGTCTAGGCCCCTTGCGGCCCCTCTGCGGCCCCTCTGAGACCCCGTCGCCGCCACCTACTACCCCGTCGCCGCCACCTGCGGCCCCGTCGCCGTCACCTGCGGCCCCGTCGCCGCCACCTGCGGCCTTGTCGCCGCCACCTGCGGCCCCGTCGCCGTCACCTGCGGCCCCGTTGCCGCCACCTGTGGCCCCGTCGCCACCACCTGCGGCCCCGTCGCCGCCCCCTGCAGCCCCGTCGACGCCACCTACGGCCACGCAGCCGCCACCTGCGGCCCCGCCGCCACCTGCGGCCCCGTCGCCGCCACCTGCGGCCTCGTCGCCGTCACCTGCGGCCCCGTCGCCCTCCCCTAGCGGCCCTGTCGCCGCTCAGCCGCCCAGCGACCGAGCCGCCGAGCAACCCTGCAGCCGAGCTGCCCACCTGCCGAGCAGCCGAGCCGTCCAGCAGCCGAGCCGCCCAGCAGCCGAGCCGCCGAGCAGCCGAGCCGCCGAGCAGCCGAGCCGCCCAGCCGCCGAGCCGCCCAGCAGCTGAGCCGCCCAGCCGCCGAGCCGCCCAGCAACCGAGCCGCCCAGCAGCCGAGCCGCCCTGCCGCCGAGCCGCCCTACTGTCGAGCCGCTGCTGTCCCTAAACCCCGGCCCTCCTTCCTCGGACTGGTGAGCTCACTCCCTCCTAGGCCACTTCAGTCATGGCTACCCCCAGTGTCCTTACTTTTGATGCTGAGGGCCGTGTTGTTGACTTAGAGGTCTGGGTCGATGACCTCCAGCTGTTTCTCCAGTGCGATAGGGCAGACGGACTCTCTCTGTTCGATCTCACCTCTGGTGCCTCTCCTGCCCCGCCTGCTACTGCTGACAGTACTGTTCGCTCACAGTGGGCCACACGCGATGCTGCTGCTCGCCTTGCCATGCGTCGCCACTTACCGACCACTGAGCGTGCACACTTTAGCCAGTACAAGAGTGCCCAGACCTTGTACGACGCTGTAGTTGCACGCTACTCTTCCCCTGCCACTGCTGCACTGAGCGGCCTCATGCTACCGTACCTCTTCCCTGACCTTGCTGCCTTCCCCACAGTCGCTGACCTCATTACGCACCTCCGCACTAGTGACACTTGCTACCGCGCTGCGCTTTCTGCTGAGTTCTGCGCCAAGAACCCCCCCACCATGTACATCACCCTCTACTACATAGTCACCCGGCTCTCTGACTCTCTCCGTGTAGTCAGGGACCACTTCCTCTCAGTTTGCCCCACCACTCTCACCGTTGACCTCCTCGAGAAGAGCCTCCTAGCAGCAGAGAAGAGCATAGTCGCTGTAGGAGCCTCTCGTGGTGACCCTCGCACCCCCGTCTTTGAGGGGTGTTCCCCCTCCCCCCTCTTGCCCTCTGTTGCCTCAGCTGCTGCGGCCGACCTCGTTGGTTTCGAGTCGGTCGGCGCTGCGTCTGCCTTGAGCGGGAGACGCCGCACCGGCTAGGGCAAGGGGGGCAAGGGCGCTGGAGGGGCTGGCGGGGGCGGTGGAGGTGGTGGTGGAGGCAGTGGAGGGGGTTGGGGTGGTGGTGGGAGTGGTGGCGGGGGTGGAGGTGTCGGTGGCAGCAGTGGAGGCGGAGGAGGCGGCGGCGGTGGCGGAGGGAGCGGAGGCGGCGGAGGTGGTGGGGGCGGCGGAGGCGGCGGAGGTGGCGGAGGCGGCGGCGGCAGCAGTGGACCTGGTCGCAGCTCTGCGCAGAGGAGTGGCTCCAGTGGTGGTACGCGCCAGCAGCAGCAGCGCAGTCGTGAGACTCTTTCCGCTGAGCAGCTTCATGAGTGGTACGCTGCGCGTCAGCGCGGTGGGGGTACGGGTCCCTGCACCTACGTTCTCCGCACCGGCGACCGCGCTGGTGAGCAGTGCGGGGGCCCGCACTCCACCCAGCGCTGCTTCGGCCGCCTGACGGACGCGTGGCGTCACCAGTTCCCTGAGGCCTCTGAGATCCCTCGCTGGGGAGAGCTGTCTAGGGCGGGGGTTGCTATGTTTGATCTTGATTTTGATGCTATTCTTGCTGCCATGTATGCTGTTGCTGATAGTGTTGAGGGTGACTGTTACTTGTGTGTTCCGCCTGACCAGGGCATTGACCCTGCTGCTCTAGGTGCTGGTGAGGCTGCTGCTCTAGGTGCTAGCGCGTCTGCTGCCCCAGGTGCTGGTGAGTCTGCCCTCTCAGGTACCACGTCCGCTCAGGCCTTACACACCTTCATCCTTGACTCGGGTGCTTCCCGTTCCTTCTTTCGAGACCGCACCACACTTACGCCGCTTAGTCGGCCGGTTGCTGTCTCCCTGACGGACCCCTCTGGGGGTCCTGTCCTTGCTTGCTAATCCACTGACTTACCGTGTCCGGCAGCCCCCTCTGGCACCCTGTCAGGTCTCTACCTCCCCTCGTTCTCTACAAACTTGGTGAGTGGAGCTGATCTACTGTTAAGAAACTAGCGAGAGTTTGGCTTAGGAGCCATAGTAGCTTAGGTGACTTGGTGAAGTTCGAGGGTGTAGGGTGTAAGGAAAATGTCGAGAGAATTGTGGAAGGAGAATGTGGAAACTAGAAAGGAGGGGGATACAAGTAGTAAGCCCTAAAAGGGTTATACTCACTTTTGAGTACCCCACTACAGACTAGACATGCATTATAATCTGACATCTACAGGATAGGGGGGTTGACTAGTTCACTCCTGCGAGACAGCGGGTGACCCACTGCACGTGTGCTCGGACAGGCCGACACTTGGCCACGTTCACCCGTTGGCCGGGGTCGAGCCTGTACACCCTAACTACTCAGTCTCCTCCGGCTGCTGAGCCTGGTCAGGTCGCTGCGTCGAGTCAGGTGTTTGCTGCAGCGTCCAGGTCTAGTCCTGAGTCTGCTCCCTGCTCGTGTCGTCTCCTATCTCACCAGACTCTCCTTTGGCACCACCGCCTTGGTCACCCCTCTCTGCCTTGTCTCCGAGGCATGGCCTCCGGTGTCATTGTATCTGGTCTCCCCCGATCTCTCCCTCCCCTACCTCCGGAGCCTACCCCTACCTGCGTCCCCTGCGTCGAGGGGCGACAGCGCGCCGCCCCTCACTCCTCCGAGTTTCCTCCGACAGAGGCTCCGTTGCAGACTCTTCAGATGGACGTGTGGGGCCCCGCCCGCGTCCGTGGCCAGGGGCACGAGCGTTACTTCCTGTTGGTGGTTGACGACTACTCGCGTTACACCACGGTCTTCCCCTTGCGCAGCAAGGGTGAAGTCACTGAGGTGTTGATCGACTGGATCCGCGCAGCTCGTCTCTAGCTCAGAGAGAGTTTCGGCTCGGACTTTCCTGTTCTGCGTCTGCACTCTGACAAAGGCGGGGAGTTTTCCTCTGCCCGTCTGGGAGCCTTCTGTCGTGCACAGGACATCTGCCAGACCTTCACGCTTTCGGCCTCTCCACAGCAAAATGGGATTGCTGAGCGCCGCATTGGTATGGTCATGGACGTCGCTCGTACGTCCATGATCCATGCGGCTGCCCCCCATTTTCTGTGGCCGTTTGCGGTTCAGTACGCGGCACATCAGCTCAACCTTCAACCCCGGGTCTCCTTGCCAGAGACCTCCCCCACCTTGCGGTGGACGGGGAAGGTTGGCGATGCGTCTGCGTTTCGGGTCTGGGGATCTTGGGCGTTTGTCCGCGACTTGTCTGCGGACAAGCTGTCTCCCCGTACTGTTCCCTGCGTCTTCCTTGGCTTCCCCCCTGACGCGCCTGGTTGGCAGTTTTACCACCCCACCTCGCGCCGTGTTCTGTCCTCCCAGGACGTCACCTTTGACGAGTCGGTGCCTTGCTACCGTCTCTTCCCCTACCGCGCTGCGCCCCTTCCCCCGCCGCCGCGCTTCCTTGTGCCACGTCCTCCCCCGGTAGACCCCCTCCCCCCTCAGGGTCCTTCCCCGTCAGGTGTGTCCCAGGTAGACGCAGTCGAGCCTGTCGAGGTAGCTGTTGACTATGGTGCTGCTAGAGGTGCTGAGCCTGCGGGTGCCGGGTCTGGAGGTGCTGAGCCTGCGGGTGTTGAGTCTAGGGGTGCTGAGCCTGGGGGTGCTGAGCCTGGGGGTGCTGAGCCTGGGGATGCTGAGCCTGGGGGTGCTGAGTCTGGAGGTGCGGAGCCTGGGGGTGCGGAGCCTGGGGGTGCGGAGCCTTGGGGCGCTGGGTCTGCTCGTGTGACCGCCGGCGGTGCTTCGTTGAGGCGGGAGCCACTCTCTCCGCAGGAGCTGCGCGAGTGGTTTGCCCGGCGCTGGAGCCGTGCTGCTGGAGCTGGAGGCACTACTGTTGCTGCTAGTTCCGGAGGTGCTCGTACTGGCGGTGCTGGAGCTGCTGGGCCTGGAGGTGCTGCTGGGGCTGCTGGAGTTGGTCCTACTGGAGCTGCTGGCGGTACTGGAGCCGCCGGTCCTGCTGGAGTTGGTGCTGCTGGAGCTGCTGGAGCTAGAGCTGCTGGGGGTGTTGGCGCTGGTGGTTCTGCTGACGCTGGTGCCTCTGAGGGTGCAGGAGTTGGCGCTGTTGGAGCTTGAGGTGCTGCTGGCGCTGGTGCTGCCGCTGGGGATACTGGTGCTGTCCCTGTTGGTTCTGGAGGCGCTGCGCGGCCGCGGCCTTACTTCGTTCCGCTCCTTGCACAAGTTCTTGGTCTCCCGCCTTCTACTGGTCCTGCTCCTCACTTAGAGTGTCCACAGCCCGTCTAGTCGCAGTCACAGTTACAACCCGCCTCCCCTCTACCTGCTCCTTCTCCCTACACTGGTCCTACTAGAGGTCTTACTGAGCGTCATGAGCCTGCGTCTCGTCCTTCGTCGCCTGTTCGTGCTGCTCGCGCTAGTCGTCGTGCTCCACGTCCTCCTGCGGTCCCAGACACACCCCGGATGGCACTTCGTCCTTCCATTGCTCCTCTGCGTGTCCTGTTGCCGTCTCCTCCAGAGTCCTCTCTTCGTGCTGCCAGTCCTACTGTCACGCGTCTCCTGGCCACTGTTGTCACTGACCCTTCCTTTGAGTCCACTTCTGCGTCTGCCTTAGTGGCAGAGCTTGTCGACTTCACTGCTCGTTGTCGTTTAGACTACGCCACTAGTCTTGTTGCTGAGTCCGAGTCTGTCTGTCCTCCGTCCGTCGGGGGTGGGTGTGCTCCTAGCACGGACGTCCTTGAGGACAGGCAAGAGGAGTTCCAGTGTTTTGCTGCTGCTTTGCCTCATCTCGTGTCCACGCCAATTGCCCCTAAGGGAGACCCAGATGCACCAGACATCCCGACTCCTCGATTGTACGCTGAGGCGATCGAGGGTCCCTACTCCTCTCAGTGGAAGTCAGCCATGGACGCAGAGATGGCTTCCTGGAAGTCCACAGGCACCTACGTCAACGAGGTTTCCCCACCTGGGGCGAACATCGTCAGTGGCATGTGGATTTTCAGGGTGAAGCGGCCGCCGGGTTCTCCGCCTGTCTTCAAGGAACGTTACGTGGCTCGAGGCTTCAGTCAGCGGCAAGGAGTTGACTACTTTCAGACCTTCTCTCCCACCCCGAAGATGACCACTCTTCGGGTGCTGCTGCACATAGCCGCTCAGCGCGACTACGAGCTTCACTCTCTTGACTTTAGCACAGCTTTCTTGCAGGGCAGCCTGCACGAGGAGATCTGGCTGCGCCGCCCACCTGGCTTCACTGGGTCGTTTCCTCCTGGTACCCAGTGGAGCCTCCGGCGGCCAGTCTACGGTCTCCGCCAGGCGCCCCGTGAGTGGCACGACACACTGAGGACCACACTTGCGGATCTTGGGTTTGCTCCTCCTACAGCCGACCCGTCGCTGTTTCTGCGCACCGACACCTCTTTGGCGCCGTTCTACATCCTCGTGTACGTCGACGACTTGGTCTTTGCCACTGCTGACACTGCTGGACTCGCCCACGTTAACTCCGAGCTGCAAAAGAGACACACGTGCACAGACCTGGGTGAAATGCGCAGCTACCTTGGCTTGCAGATCACCCGGGACAGAGCACAGCGCACCATTACCCTGACTCAGTCACACATGGTGCAGCAGGTCCTTCAGCGCTTCGGCTTCACGTACTCCTCGCCTCAGGCCACTCCTCTTTCTACTCGCCACTCGCTCTCAGCTCTGCCTTCGGATGAGTCCGTAGAGCCGAGTGGCCCGTACCCAGAGCTTGTTGGCTGCCTCATGTACCTGATGACCTGCACACGACCTGATCTTGCATATGCGGAGATAACTGCAGCAACGGGAGTTAGACTACGGACTAGGCACGTGTGCTCGTGTGATCTCTGCGTTCTCTGTTCCTTAGTCGTTTTCCTTGTGCACACACTACATGCTAGTTCACGGGGAAAATTGGCAAGAGTTCCTTTAGGAAAAGTTCATAACAATTGGTACAATGAAGTTGGCACAGCAAGACTACATCAGAGCAAGCATTCAGGTCGGCTAACTGCCAACGCAGCTTGGTCGATCGTGCTCCAGCACGACTTGGTCGACCGCGCTCCAGCAAGGCAAGGTCGACGGCGTGCCAACGTCACAGGTTGACGGCGTGACAGCGTTGCTCACGCAGGACAGCAGTGCACCCTGCTTCGCAATTACGTGCAGGTGATTGGCGTGCAGAGTCTCGTCACCTACACAGCGCACAACACCACGTCAACCTCGAGCTGACGACTGCCTCTGATCGGCCACGCCGACCTCGGGATACCACCACCGAGGTCGGGCTCGCCAACTTCGCCTGGGCGACCGTCATACTCCTCCGCAGCACTTCGCCACCCAGGTAACCTGGTCGACCGGGCAACCGCGTCGACCAGCAGCTCCGGTTCGTGCCCGTCGGCCTCCCAAGTCGACGACCACCTCCACGTTGACCTCACCAGGTCGACGATACCATCGGTCGACCTCCTTCAGGTCGATGTCCCCTCTGATCGACCAGCTCCACGTCGACCAGCATAGTCGTCGGCCGACCACCCACGCCGGCCGCCCGAAGCGCGTCACGAAGTTGACGCTCCGCTACTCGACACCTTGCGTAAAGGTCAACGTCGGTCCCTCCTTCGTCGACCACCAGGTCCAGTCGACCACCCACAGGTCGACCAGCGGTCCGTTAGCCGACTGCCGAAGCCGGCTTCGACGTCCTCCGGAGGTCGACTCCCAAGTCGACCTCCCAGAAGTCGGCGCCACCCTGAAGTCGGCGCCCGTGCAGTGGTCCCCCGTGCAGGTCGACCTCCTCGTTGACCAGCTCACCCACTGCTGCAGGTCGGCTGTTCCCCTCACACCCGACCACGAAGTCGGCTCCGCCCAAGCGAGGACGGGGCCAATACCCAACTCCCGTTGACACTCCCCTGCCGCGTTCACGCCTTGGCACCCAGCCCACACGGCAGTACAGCTC